TAATTTATTTTTGGGAGAGAGAGGAGGGGGGAGATAAAGCGTGCATGGGGGAAGGGCAGAGAGAGAGGGAGACACAGAATCCAAGCAGGCTCCAGGCTATGAGCTGTCAGCACAGAGCCCGATGCGGGGCTCGAACCCACGAACCGCGAGATCATGACCTGAGCTGAAGTTGGATGCTCAACCAACTGAGCCACCCAGGCGCCCCTTAAAATAGATTTTTTAAAAACATGGTGCAACACAGCTGTGACAGGGAAGCGTGGGACACTCAAGAGAGCCCGGGGGACAGACGTGACCTAGGCGTGTGGATCGGGAGGTCAGAGAGGGCTCCTTCAAGAGGGGGCCTTCTTGCTGCTTGAGAAAGAGTCTGCGAAAGCACAAAGGGGCAGGCGTTGAGCGCTGAGCAGTTAGGTGCCTGAGGAAAGAGAGAAAGAGAGAGAGGAACTGAAATTAAGGAAGTCAGTGTATCTGGGGCAGTGGGTTCAAGCAGTGGCTCGTGGGAGAGGTCATCATGGGTTGGTCCTGACTGTATCAGGCCGGGCAGCTTGAGGGCAACGGGAGCCATGGGGGATGTGAGAGTGAGGGAGCTGCGAGCTTCAGATCCAGCCCTTCAGGAAAGCGTGGAGAAGGGATTGAAGGGGGTGCCTAGAGGCAGAGTCTGGAGGAGAGGCTGGAGCAGGCTGCAGGCATCTAGGAGGAACTGGGACAAGGCCACAGCCCCTGGGGACAGGGGAGGTTCCAGCTGAGACGGGCCATCGGGCACACAGAGCTGCTCTGTTCTCTGACCCCACGGAAGCTTTTGGGTTCATGAATTTTTCAGCCAAACAGGCCTTGAGTTTCAGATTCTAGGGCTCTGGGCCCAGGCTTTTGGGTTCTATTTACTGCCTGAAAACATCTCGGGGACCCAGGAGAAGGGCCCTGGAGAGGCTGCGTGATGACAGGCTGGGGCCAGGGGCCGGCAGCGTCCGCAGTCCCCTTGGGTCACCTTCTGAGCAGGGGGCAGGTAGGAGAGGGGAATCCCCCTCGTTGGAGCAAAGCCATCGCTGACTTGCTTGGGTTTTCCATCGCTGACTTGCTCTCCTAACCTCAGCTTTCTGGTCTGTGGACTGGAGATAATAGGCGTCCCTAACTCAAAGCGTTGTTTCTAGTAGATTCCCCCACGGAAGACATTTAGGTCAGGGCCTGGGCACCACACAAGCGTGAGCTGTTGTTAGTGGTGGCAATACTTGCTTGCTTTAAGTTTATTTACTTCCTTTGAGAGAGAGTGGGGGAGGGGCAGAGAGAGACAGGGAGAGAGAGAGAATCCCAAGGAGGCTCCTCACCGTCAGCACAGAGAGCGATGCGGGGCTTGAACTCATGAACCCTGAGATCATGGCTAGAGCCAGGATAGAGAGTCGATCGCGCAACCGCCCAAGCCTCCCAGGCGCCCCGTTTAGTAACAATACTTGCATCTGGGAATATGGCGGAGCGTCTGGGAGCGGGTCTTGAAGGCCCCGGCTCAGGTTCAAATTCTGGTTCAGCGGTTTCACGGCTGTGTGACCTTGGGCGAGTGGCCTCACCTCTCTGTGCTCCAGTTTCCTCCAATGTAAGAAGACAGGAAATGTCTTCCCCCCTCAGCGAATTTTCAGGAAAACCAAAGATGGGAAGGCCGGAGTCAAACAGTGATAAAATAACAAACTTGAAAAAACAAACTGAGGAAGACATCAAGAAGTGTCAGGAGTGGGGCTCCTGGGTGGCTCGGACGGTTCAACGTCTGACTCGTGGTTTTGGCTCACGTCATGATCTCATGGTTTGTGGGTTCGAGCCCCACATCAGGCTCTGCAGTGACAGCGCAGAGCCTGCTTGGGATTCTCTCTCTCTGCCCCTCTCCTGCTCTCTCTCTCTCTCTCTCAAAATAAATAAACTTTAAAAAAAGGGTCAGGAGTGCTCAATGAATGTGCACTTCAACTATTGTCGCCGTGATCTTATCCACGTTAGACGCCAGCAGAGAGGGGAGTGGTAGTTCTGATATCTGCTGCTCTAACCGCCCTCCCTCATGTCCCCTGTGGGAACCCCCCTCCAAACCCAGGAGCTGATAAAAGTGTGGGGCTGGGTTTTTGGAAGGAAGGATGAAGCCTTCAAGAGCTGAGTGCCCCTCCCCTCCACCAGCCCCTTGGGGACCCTCCCACCGTTGAGCAGGATCAGTTCCAGTCGGGCTGAAAGTGAGTTTTCCCTTTCCTTCCCCAGCTCATCCGGTGAGGAGGTCAGACAGTGAAAGGGTCTGCAATCGTTAAGGAGTGGGCATCGAGGTAGGCCCGGTAGGCGGGTGAGCGAAGCCTGAAGAGGTGGCGCCAAGACTCTTATGCCCATTTAACAGAAGTGAAGACTGAGGCACAAGAGGTGCCATCACTAGCCCAACGCCTCAGAGCCAATTGTGGAGTCAGGTTTCAAAGCCACCACCTGTGTTCTTAACCGCTGCACAGTAAATAATGATAATAGTAATAACAACATCAGTAATAATAGCAGCAATAATAGCAGAAACTAATAACTGGCTGAGTGGTGGCTCCGTCCTGGGCCTGCCCTCCGCATAGCGGCCTAATGAGGAAAGTGCAGCTAAGTCTATTCACAGCCGTCCAAACAGGAATCCAGGGAGGGGAGGGCGAGGCCCGAGGCCACCCAGCTGGGTGGTGGCAGAGTCAGGACTTGAGCCCAAGCCATGGGTTCCAGAGGCCTCACGCTCTACCAGCACGTATAATTTTTTTTAATGTTTATTTTATTTCTGAGAGAGAGAGAGAGCAGGGGAGGGGCAGAAAGAGAGGGAGACACAGAATCCGAAGCAGGCTCCAGGCTCTGAGCCGTCAGCACAGAGCCAGATGTGGGGCTCAAACCCACAAACCGTGAGATCGTGACCTGAGTCGAAGTCAGACGCTTAACCGACTGAGCCACCCAGGTGCCCCTCTACCAGCACATATAAACAACAATAACAAAAAACAGTATTAGTACCAGCTTTATGCCAGCCTCTGCACCAGAGCTCTTTCTCTGGCTTGTTCCTGCTCATAAGGTCAGGGTGGGAAACCTCCGAATGCCAGCCCCTCCCCTGGTCTGTGTCACAGCCCCGCCTTCATTCTCTAACAGCTCCTAACCCCGGGCCACCAGTTCACTGGCCTTTAGAGTTCCCATCGTGATCAGAGATCTTGTTTTTTTCTCACCCTCCCTTGAAGAGAGCAGCGGAGTGGCTTTGCCGGTTTGCCGCCCATACTGCCACTGAGGAAGCTGCTCAATAAATACCCACTGGCCGCGTGAACCCCCATCCACAGCACCAGCATCATCACCATAATGAAAGTGGCTTCTGTGTGTTCCGTCTAGCACACAGTAGGTGCTCAATAAATGTTCGTTGAGTGAAAATTTTTCTAATATAACCACAATAATTCTGATCAGTTACTTTTCTTTTTTTTTCTTTTTCTCTTAAAAAAATTTTTAATGTATTTTATTTTGAGAGACAGACAGAGAGTGAGCAGGGGAGGGGCAGAGAGAGAGGGAGACACAGAATCTGAAACAGGCTCCAGGCTCTGAGCTGTCAGCACAGAGCCCGAGACGGGGCTAGAACCCACAAACCGTGAGATCATGACCTGAGCCAAAGCTGGACACTCAACCGACTGAGACACCCAGGTGCCCCTAGAGGGAACTTTTTATTATTTATTTATTTATTAATGTTTTATTTATTCTTGAGAGAGAGAGAGACAGCATGAGCAGGGGAGGGGCAGAGAGAGAGGGAGACACAGAATCTGAAACAGCGTCTAGGCTCTGAGCTAGCTGTCAGCACAGAGCCTGACGTGGGGCTCGAACCCATGGATTGTGAGATCATGACCTGAGCCGAAGTAGATGCTTAACCGACTGAGCGACTCAGGTGCCCTGATCATTTACTTTTCAACATTTTTTAATGTTTATTTATATATTTTGAGAGATAGAGAGAGTGGGGGAGGGACAGAGAGAAAGAGAGAGTTAATCCCAAGCAGGCTCCACTCTGTTAGTGCAGAGCCTGATGCAGGGCTTGAACTCACGAACTGTGAGGTGACCTGGGAGGAGATCAAGAGTCAAACGCTGAGCCGACTGAGCCACCCAGGCACCCCTATCTTTTTAACATTCTATCAACATCTTTTTAAAAATATTTTTAAGTTTATTTATTTATTTTGAGAGAGAGAGAATGGGGGAGGGTAGAGAGAGAGGAGAGAAAGAATCCCAAGTAGGCTCTGCACTGTCAATGCAGAGCCTGACTCAGGGCTCGAACCCACGAACAGAGAGATCACGACCAGAGCTGAAGTCAAAAGTCAGATGCTTAACCAACTGAGCCACCCAGGCGCCTATCAACATCTTAGTGTCACATAGTAGGAGCTTTTAAATATTTTTGGAATGAATAAGAGTAAGTTTAGGAATAATAGTAAAAGCAGCTACATTTCTTCTGCTTAGAATGCTACCCATAGTTCCCCAGTGAAGGAATTTACTAGTCAGGAAATATTTGAGTGAAAGAATAAATTAGTTAATAGTTATTGTATGAATGAATGATGATTTGGACAAATATTGAGTACCCAGTGTGGGACACTGGGGCACAGACATGAACAGGCAAAATCTCTGCCCTAATGGAGCTGCTATGCCTGTGGGAGAAACAGAGGACAGACAAGACGAATGGCTGGGTGGCTGGGTGGCTGGGTGGCTGGATGAATGGGTGGCTGGATGGACGGGTGGGTGGGTGGCTGAATGAGTAGGTGGGTAGATGGATAGGCAGGGGTGGAGTGGGCGGGAGGCCGGCTAGCTTGCCGGCTGGGTGGACGAACGGATGGATGGTTGGTGTGGAGACTCCTCCCATCAGCACCCTTGGGTGCCAAGGGAGAGTGAGGCGGGGCAGCTCTCCGCTCCAAAGCCCCGCCCTGCAGCAGTCTTCGCGTCGGCCGACAGCGCCGCTCACCTGGAGGCCTCCCCTTTAAGACGCACTCACCTGGGCTCTCACCTGCGCGCCGGCGCTTCCGCAGGAAGAAGGAAGCTGCGCCGCCGTCGCCTCCCGGCGCTCGCTCCCCGCCTCCCAGGTCCGCCGACCGCCACAATGTCCGCCTCGGCTGTCTTCATCCTCGACGTCAAGGGCAAGGTAAGGCCGGAGCTGGGGATACGGGGGAAGGACAGGTGAGGCTGCGCTCCCCTGGACCCGGAGGCGGCCCCTCCTCGCAGGCAGCGAGGCTCCAGAAAGCTCCGGGCGAGTGGGAACACCCCTCCCCCAATCCCTGGAACTCGCAGGTCGAATCCCACCTCCAGTTTCCCAACCGCGTGCCCCGGGGCTCGGGGCTTTGCGTCTCTGAGCCTCAGTCTCCCTATCCGTAAAAATGGGAATAACAAGTCCCCACCCAGTAAGAATTAATACAACTCGATGAGTGTAAACTCCTTAGCACAGTAGCCCTGCTCCAAACATTAGGCATTATGTCAATTGAAATGATTTGTGTCACCATCATCCACATGATTAATATTTGGGGAAGACAGCGGGGGCAGGGGACCTTCATTCTCCTTTGGGGCTGTCCCTTTCTGAAGCCCCTCTCGTTCGTCTTGTCATTTAATATCAACAAAAGCTGTGGTGGTCAAGGCTAGGGTGTTGGAGGACCATCTCTGTGCCATCCTGGTTCTAAACCCTGGGCTAACCCACCTTAGGAAGCAGGTACTATTATTATTGACTGCTGATTGGCTGCCAGACAGAGGTATATGAGCTAACTTTCCCCGTCCTTCAAACTAAGCGGATGATGGCGCACACCCCACAGATTGCAGTGAGAACAAAATCAGTTAGCAAACATCCAGTCTTTATTAGGACACGGCCTGGTCCTCATGAAGCACTCTGGACATGTTTGGTGTTGCTATCATGCACCCATTTTACAGAAGAGGAGACTGAGGCACAGAGTGGCAGAGTCTTGCCCCTGCCCTTCACCCAGGAAGTAGGGTCAGAACCGGGCAGTCTGAAGCCCCTCCTCTGGGACCATGAAGGGTCCCAGATCCCAGCAGTGACCGCGCCTTCTCTGCTCACGCTTAGCCCCTGATCAGCCGCAACTACAAGGGCGATGTGGCCATGAGTGAGATTGAGCACTTCATGCCTCTGCTCATGCAGCGGGAGGAGGAGGGCGCCCTGGCCCCGCTGCTGAGCCATGGCCGGGTCCACTTTTTGTGGATCAAACACAGCAACCTCTACTGTATCCAGACCCTGGCTGGGTCCCCGGAGACCTGGGGTGGTGGCAGCTCAGGCCCAGAGAGGGTGCACTGAGACAGAAGTTGCACAGCACATCAGTGGTTCAGGTTGGGAGTGGGGGGGGGTGTGCGGGTTGGACAGAGATGAGGTGAGGGGGTGGGAGGACAGGGTGAGGTTTTAGAGTCTGTACTTCATTGGAGACCTCCGAAATGGGGCCTTTTCCTTGACCTTGCTGCCCATAGTGGTAGCCACCACACTGAAGAACGCCAACGCCTCCCTCGTGTACTCCTTCCTCTACAAGACGGTGGAGGTAGGTTCTGGCTTCTCATTGTCCGCCTGTCCGCCTGTCTGTCCGCCCGTCTCTCTGTCCGTCTCGCCCTTCTCTTGCAGGATCCGTCCTTCCTAGGAACCTTTCCCCTGACCTCGCCCCATGGAAGCCCCATCTCTGTGTTCTCAGTAGCTCTTATGGGATCATCTCTCCCTATAGGGCAAGGACCGAGGGGGTCCCCAAGAGGGTATACTGCTCAAATCTGAGCCAGAGAAAACCGGGTTCCAATCCCAGCGCCGCCTCTTCCTGGCTGTGTCACCTGGAGCAAGTCACTTCTCTCTGTGTCTCTAAACTGAAGATTACAAGCCCTGCCGGGGGGGGGGGGGGGGGGGGGGGGGGGGGGGGGGGTGTACAAAGTAGTCACATTCATGTTTATGAGTGCTTAAAATAGTGCTTAGTATCCAGTAAGTGCTCAGTAAAGGTTTGGTATCTTTTTTTAAAGTTTGTTTATTTTGAGAGAGAAAAGGGGGGGCAGACAGAGAGAGAGGGAGAGAGAAGATCCCAAGCAGGCTCCATGCTGTCGGCACAGAGCCCGACACGGGGCTCGATCTCACAAACCGCAAAATCATGACCTGAGCCGAAGTCAGATGCTTAACTGAATGAGCCACCCAGGCGCCCCAAGGTTTGGCATTCTTGGTAGCATTAGCACTGTTCTAGTAAAATCACATAATAATTTGAGTGCTTGCTATCTGCCATTTTCAGTGACAGAAAGGGCTCAGTCAACACTTTTCAACCACCAAGGGCTATGTATCGGCTTGTCTCCTGCCAGGCAGCCACACATAACACAGGCACAGTCCCTGCCTGTCCCAAGGAGCTAACGGGCATGAAGGTGATTCAACAGGACATTATGAGAACCAGTGGCCAGGGTGCTAGACTCACCTTGATACTCAAGGGGGCAGGAGGGATGGTAGTGGCTTCACTGAGGAGGTGACATTGGAGCTGAGGCCTGCATGACAAGAATGTCCCAGGCAGAGGGGACAGCACATGCAAAGGCTCTGGGGTGAGAACAGAAAGTAAGCCAGTGGGACGGGAACAGAATGGGGGATGGAGGGTTTCTCAAAAGTCAGGTGACTGATGGGGTCTCTGCCTCCTAATCCCTGGAGGCTCTGGACTTGGGGCCCCCAAGCCCCTAAAGCCCTGTGGATAGAATTCAGGGAATCCACGAGCTTAGCTGTAATTCTGTATAATGGGTTTCCCATGTTGTCTTGTATACTTTACGCATTGGAAACCTTACTCTGTAAACCGCACCAGATACACAGAGTTTCATGGTGCGCGCGCACACGCGCACACACACACACGCACACACACACACACGCACACGCACACACACACACACACTTCTGAGCCCTTCCCATCCTTCCTCCAGGAAGGCTTCCTGGACCTCCATGCCTCTGGGTTCCTACTTTGTGTTTTCCCCACTGTTTGCACTCAGCATGTTGCATTGTGTTGGTCATGTTGCCAGTCCATCCCCCCCACCAGACTGCTCCCCGAAGGCACGGACACTGTGGGCTTTGTTCGCCACCGATGTTCCGGTACTGTTATACAGTAGACACCCAAGAGCTGCTTGTTGAACTGCTGGCTGGATGAGTGGGGCCCAGCCCATGGTCCCAGCTGTGCCACAGCCATGCCCCTGTAGGTGTCTGTCCCCCCACACCCCCAGGTGTTCTCTGAATACTTCAAGGAGCTGGAGGAGGAGAGCATCCGCGACAACTTTGTCATCGTCTACGAGCTGCTGGACGAGCTCATGGATTTCGGGTTCCCGCAGACCACCGACAGCAAGATCCTGCAGGAGTGAGTGGGCCGCAGGGGCAGCCACGGAGGGAGCCGCTCGTGGAAGGAAGTCAGGGAGGGCCAGGGAGGTGTCCCCGGGTCCAGCCGCTTGTCGCCCCGCCCTCCTGACAGGTACATCACACAGCAGGGCAACAAGCTGGAGACCGGCAAGTCGCGGGTGCCACCCACTGTCACCAATGCCGTGTCCTGGCGCTCTGAGGGCATCAAGTACAAGAAGAATGAGGTGTTCATCGACGTCATAGAGTCTGTCAACCTGCTGGTGAGCCCCCACACCTCTGCCCCCGTTCCTTCTGTGGCCTGGGGGCAGGGGAGGAGGCCCTATGCGTGTTGATCCCCCCATACTGTGCATCCTCAGGTCAATGCCAATGGCAGCGTCCTGCTGAGCGAGATCGTGGGCACCATCAAGCTCAAGGTGTTTCTGTCGGGAATGCCAGAGCTGCGGCTGGGCCTCAATGACCGAGTGCTCTTTGAGCTCACGGGCCGTAAGCATCTGGGGGGGGGGGGGGCAGGAGGGAGCTGACCCTATCCCATCTGGGGACCCGGAGAATCACAGCCAGTTCTGAAATAAGCACTTGTGTGCCCTCTGCTGGTCATGGCCAGTACTGCAGCTGCTGGCTCATTGGTGCAAAAAGTGGATACTGCCTGGCACAGATACAGTGGCCACAAAGACCAATCCCTGCCCTTGGGGAGCTGACATTTCAGGGGGAGGAGGAGACAGAATAGCATCGTGTTAAAAACCTTGCCAGCGGGGCACCTGGGTGGGTCAGTCGATGGGGTGTCCGACTCTTGGTTTAGGCTCAGGTCATGATCTCACAGTATGAGGAGTTCAAGTCCCGCATCGGGCTCCACGCTGACAGTGTGGAGCCTGCTTGGGATTCTCTTTCCCTCTCTCTCTCTCTGCGCGTCCCCTGTTTATTCTGTCTCTCTCTCTAAATAAATAAATAAACTCAGGGGGAAAAAAATGTAAAAACCTGACAGCAAGAGCCAGATTCCCTGGGTCCAGATCCCAGCTCTGCCCCTGGCCAGCTCAGTGACCCTGGGGAAGTTCCTTATCCTCTCTGGGCCTCAGTTTCCTTACCTGTAAAATGGATGTAATGCTAAGTCGTAGTCAGGGAAGATAAGGGCTTGAGAGCCTGTCCCAGACGCCCACGGTCACCTGCCCGCTTGGCTCCGAGTTTCAGGAAGCAAGAACAAGTCTGTGGAACTGGAAGACGTGAAATTCCATCAGTGTGTGCGGCTCTCTCGCTTCGACAACGACCGCACTATCTCCTTCATCCCGCCCGACGGCGACTTTGAACTCATGTCCTACCGCCTCAGCACCCAGGTGAGGCAGGGTAGAGCCCCACTGCAGGGGGTGAGAGGTGACCCCGGAGCCTTCAAGGACTCCCCCTTCTGCTGCCTGTAGGTCAAGCCGTTGATCTGGATCGAGTCCGTCATTGAGAAGTTCTCCCACAGCCGTGTGGAGATCATGGTCAAGGTAGGCCCGGGGGATCTGCCCCTCCCCAGTCACCAGCCCGACCTTCTCTCCCTCCCTCCCTGGCTCCTCGCTCCCCTCCGGCCACGCTGGTCTCCTGGCTGCTTCTGACACATGTCAGGCACAGGTCCCCGTGGGGACTTTGCACTGGCTGTTCCTTCTACCTGGGCTGCTGTTCCGGCAGCCAGGCCCCTGGCTTCGGCTCCCGCCCTCTCTCGGCCCCTCTGGCGTCTGCTCTATGACCTGTGTCAGCACTGCGTCTACTCCTCTGTGTGGATTTCTTTTCCGCAGTAAGAACACAGTGAGTTCTCAATAGTGTCTAATAACTGAGCCTCTACTTTGTAAGAGAACCAAGCGACAAGAGGGAGGAGATAAAAGAGACTCTGCCGCCCTTGGGGAGCTTGCTAGCTGCGGGGGGGGGAGGGGGGGACACACAAACCATCAGCAAATACTGTCAAAACAGACCCCTCATCTGCCCTCTTCACACTGTCTTTACCGCATCTACCCTGGTCTCTCAGCTCCCGCCCTCACCCCCCACTGTTCCCCTAAAGGGCACCCGTGAGCACTGGAGTCTGGCTGTGTGTCTCTCTTCTGCCCAGAGCCTTCTATGGCTCCCACTTCACTGAGAGGAAAAGCCAAACTTCAGGCAGCCCACGAGACCCTAAAACAGTCTGCTATGTCCCCTCCCTCCCTCCCTCCCTCCTAGCTATACCGGCTTCCTCTTTGTTCACACCAGGCAAGGTCCTACCCCAGGGCCTTTGCACCGGTTGGGTTGTTCCCCTTCTTTGGATCACACCCCCTCCCCGCTGCAGATACCCACGTGGCTCCTCCCCTTATATCCCTCGGGTTTTTGTTTTTGTTTTTGTTTTGCTAAATGTCACCTCTTCAGAGGACTTTCCTGATTCCTTTATTTAAAATTGCAACTCCCTGGGGTGCCTGCTGGCTCAGTTGGTGGAGAATATGACTCTTGATCTCAAGGTTGTAAGTTTGAGCCCCATGTTAGGTGTAGAGATTGCTTAAAAAGAAAATCTTTGGGGCGCCTGGGTGGCTCAGCCAGTTGTGTCCGACTCTTGATTTCAGCTCAGGCCATGATTTCACGGTTCGTGAGGTGGAGCCCTCCATCGGGCTCTGTGCTGACAGCGCAGAGCCTGCTTGGGATTCTCTCTTTCCCTCTCTCTGTGCCCCTCCTCAGCCTGTGGGTGAGCTCTCAGGCACCCACATACGTATACAATCTGTCTCTCTTAAAAAAATAAATCTTTTAACAATAAAAATAAGTAGGGGTGCCTGGGTCGCTCAGTCAGTTAAGTGTTTGACTTCGGCTCAGGTCATGATCTGACAGTTCGTGAGTTTGAGCCCCGCGTCAGGCTCTGTGGTGGCAGCTCAGAGCCTGGAGCCTGCTTCGGATCCTGTGTCTCCCTCTCTCTCCGCCCCTCCCCTACCCCCTCTCTCAAAAATAATCAAACATTAAAAAGTTAAAAACCAGGGGCGCCTGGGTGGCTTAGTCGGTTAAGCGTCTGACTTTCGCTTAGGTCATGATCTCGCGGTTCGTGGGTTCGAGCCCCGCGTCGGGCTCTGTGCTGACTGCCAGCTCAGAGCCTGGAGCCTATTTCAGAGTCTGTGTCTCCCTATCTCTCTGACCCTCCCCTGCTTGCTCTGTCTCTCTCTCTCTCTCTCCTAGAAATAAAAAAAAAAAAAAAAAGTTAAAAACCAAATGCCAGCTATCAAATGAAAACTGCTCTGTGACGGGCTAAGGGCTCTCATTATAGACTAGTCAAAGGTGTGGGACCCTTTCCAAATGGAAGGCACCAGGAATGCAGTTTCTGGGGTCTCCTGTGGGTGTGAACCCCAACTCTGCCACTTGTGGGCTGTGTCTCCAAGCAAATGCCGTAGCTTCCCTGCGTCTCCATAGTCTCGCCTGTGAAATGGGCAGGATGGTCGTTCCCACCTCGGGGGTGTGGAGGCTCTCATGATGTGGGGGAAGGGCTCCCTTGCCGAAGATTTGCAGAATGCAGGAGTGAAGTCTTCACACCCCACGCCCTCTCCCCTGACAGGCCAAGGGGCAGTTTAAGAAGCAGTCGGTGGCCAACGGCGTGGAGATATCCGTGCCCGTCCCCAGCGATGCCGACTCCCCACGCTTCAAGACCAGTGTAGGCAGCGCCAAGTATGTGCCCGAAAAGAATGTCGTCATTTGGAGTATTAAGTCTTTCCCGGTGAGTACTGGGTGTGGGTGTGGGGTCTGAGGCACCTGCCCCTGCTGCTTGAGAGCGCCAGAGAATAAGCCGGAGACCCGTGTAGGCATGCCCATGCTTATCTTTTTTTTTTTTTTTAATGTTTTTATTTATTTCTGAGAGAGAGAGAGACAGTGCGAGCAGGGGAGGGTCAGAGAGAGAGGGAGACACAGAATCCAAAGCAGGCTCCAGGCTCTGAGCTGCCACCACAGAGCCCGACACGGGGCTTGAACCCATAACCGTGAGATCATGACCTGAGCCAAAGTCGGACGCTCAACCGACTGAGCCGCCCAGGCGCCCCATGCCCCTGCTTATCCTTTAGGGGTAAGAAAGCTGGCAACCAGGCCGGCGTGGGGGTTAAGCCCCCCACCTCCCAGGTCTTGAGGAAACCAGCCTGGGGTTCAAGTTCTTTGCCCTTGCCTCCCTGAGCCGGACAGCCTTTGGAAACCCACTTCCCTTCACGGAGCCTCTATTTGCTCATCTGTGAAACAGACAGGATCAGGTTATCCCCATTCTTGGGCTGCTGGAGGATCTGATCCGTCCCTGTGATCTGGTGGGGGGGGGGGGCGGTGGAGGTTCGTCGGGGCCTGGAAAACGGGAGGTGGTCGTGAGAAGCACTCAGACCAGGCTTTGCAGTTAGAAACTTCAGCTGTGAGGGGCCATCTGGGTGGCGTGATCTCAAGGTTGGTGGGTTCAAGCTCTGCGCTGAGCTTGGAGCCTGCTTGGGATTCTCTCTCTCCCTGCCCCTTCCCTGTTTGTGTGTGTGCCTGCGGTCTCTCTTTCTCCACCCCCCAATAAATAAACATTAAAAAAAACAAGACAGAACTTCCGCTGAGTCTTGGCCGGGAGCTTTTTTTTTTTTTTTAATATTTTTATTTATTTCTAGTTGAGAGAGAGAGACAGCGTGAGCAGGGGAGGGTCAGAGAGAGAGGGAGTCACAGACTGAAACAGGCTCCAGGCTCTGAGCTGGCAGTCAGCACAGAGCCTGACGCGGGGCTCAAACCCACAAACCGCGAGATCATGACCTAAGCGAAAGTCGCACGCTTAACCGACTGAGCCACCCCGCCGCCCCTTGGCCAGGAGCTTTTACTTTCGTGTCTGAAATGGACAAAGAACAGAGCCTGCTTGGGGGCGGCTGTGAGGAGACTGTGGGGTTGTAGAGGCCTCTTGGTTTGTCTGATGCCCCCATGTGCCCTCAGGGGGGCAAGGAGTACCTGATGCGTGCCCACTTTGGCCTCCCCAGCGTGGAGAAGGAGGAGATGGAGGGCCGGCCCCCCATTGGGGTCAAGTTTGAGATCCCCTATTTCACCGTCTCCGGGATCCAGGTGAGTGCAGTGAACAGGTGCGCCCTGTCCTTGACCTCAGTGGATTCCCCATTCTCCTGCCCCTTGGCTCGGGTTGCTTTTGTTCCCCAGCCAGTGTCACCTCACCTCTGTAGCCGGTCTGTGCCATCTCGCTCCCCCCGTCACTTGTTCACTGTTCACCCACCCGCAAGCCGTACACTGTTCCCCTGGCCGGTGACACCTGGTCCCCCCCAAAACCACGTGTGTCTGTTCCCTCACACCGCGCTCTTTCCCGCTGTCCTGGACCGCCTCCCCCTGCTCCCACCGCACATGCCAAACCTTTGACCCACACCGCGTCACCCCATCACCCCCCCCAACTGTGCCAACACTGTTGCCCGAGTTATGTTACCCTCGCCGCAGCCAGCCTCTCCCCACAAGCCGGGCCACCTCTTTGCATTCCGTCTCAGGTCCGGTACATGAAGATCATTGAGAAAAGCGGCTACCAGGCCCTGCCATGGGTTCGCTACATCACCCAAAGTGGCGGTAAAGCAGCCGGGGCGCCCTGGGGCACTGGGGTCAAGGAGATCAAAAGGATGGTCCCGGGGCTTTGACCACGCTCCGGCTCAGAGGGCACCAAAATCCGGCAAGCCTGGCCCCAGGCCCACTCTGTCTTTATCCTCGAGCCACCCTGGGCCTCACTTGGCCCGTCTTTAAAATGGGGGCAGCTGCCGTTCTAGGGTACTGACCGGGTTTGGAAAAGAGAGGGCACGCATAGTACCCCCATCTGCACCTAGAAACAGGCTCGTTGCTATGGTTACCATCCCTGTGTTACAAACCCCATTCCATGGGTTGATCATGGGTGTGGGGGGTGGCTTTCTCTCTGTTCCCTTTCCCCAATTCTGAGATGGTGTCTGCTCATTGTTTCCCTGCAGATTATCAACTTCGCACGAGCTAGGAGAGAGAAGACGTGGGGCCTGGACATGGGGCCTTCCCTCCCCTCCAGGCCGGGACTCTAGACTTGAGAGGGAGGAAGATGGGGGACGTGTGTGAGGGAGAGCCCCTGACTTAGCCGTTTCTTACTCCCAGCACCCTCCCTGCCTTTCTCTCTACCCACAGGCTCCCCACTCCTCCAATTTTATATGAAGAATAGAGGGTCCTGAAGCCCCCCTCATGAGTGCCTTCTTGCAGTGACCTGCCTTAGGGGTGCTGGGGCCCCTCCTCCACAGCTGCTGAGCCCAGAGGCCACCCTGAGTTTTAGGATGGTATTAAAAAGAATGAATCTGGCTGCTGTGTATATTCGTGGCTGGGGACTGGCAATGCCAGGGAACCCCCCCGAAGTGCTGGGATGGGGGTGGGCAACGTATCCACTCCTCGGTGCCCCCGTGGGGGCATTTCTGGGCCCGTGCATTTGCCCAACTCCCTCACTGGACCGCAGGCTCCAACCCCGCTCCGACACCACCGTCAGTTCCCCTTGCGGCCTCCAGAGGGCGCCTGTTAACTTCGAACTCCGGTCGTGGGTCTCGACCTTCCCACAAGCTTTCCCGTGTTAGAAGTAAAAGTCAAGAGCTCATCGCGGTGCCCAAGCGTGGTCTGCACTACCCCTCCCCTCACTTAGCTGCCCCCACCTTCTCGCTCTCTCCTGCTCCAGACCTCAGGCTTCCTGTGCACGAGTGGGCTCCCACCTCGGCCTTTGCGGCTCTAATGCCCTTCACCTGGCATGCTTTTCCCCAGTGACACGGCTCCTTCCCTCCCCTTTCAGGTCGCACATGTCACCTCCTCAGGGAGGCCCTCCCTGACCTATTTCAAACGGCCTTCTTTTCCCAAGAGATTATAACTTACCCGTTTTATCACCTCCACAAATTTTACCATCCTCAAAAGATTTGTCTTCTCCCGGCCTAAATGGTGGGGGCCCCGCAGCAGGAACCACCTGGCTGGCTCGCTCTCCAGTTGGGCGCCTGGTACACAGAAGGTGCTCAGTAAATGTTTGAATGCAGGCATTTGCAAGAGCCGCCTCCGACCTCAACTCTCGCCTCCCAGGCTCGTGCACGTGGCGGCTGCGGCTGGAGCGCGAACTTTTGTCCTCGCCGCAGCACTTGCTGTGCCGGGTCTGGCTCAATCTGAGCCGGAACGTGATTCCTTCTCACCCACCCCGGCCCCCCTTTTATTTTCTTGACGGTGCTTAACGCCCTTTAAAATTACGTAGTTGCCTGAATGTGCGCTCCCCAGCGCCGAAAACGGTTCCGGCACACAGTGAGTGAGTGAAATAAAGCCCTCTGAACCTAGTAAGCGCTAATAAATGCTTATCGCGTGACTCAGTGGTGGAACCTGGGACTGGGCTGCCCCAGCCCGGCCTCCCCTCCTCCCACAGGTGCCGAGGTCCCGAAGCAGCCCGCGCTACCCTGCCCCTGACCTTTCTCCCCCAGGTCAGTTAAACCGGCCGTCTTTCCCGCCCGCCCGGCGAGTTTGAAAACCGAAAACCCCGCCATTAACCAGCGGTCCACCGGTCGCCGAGGCTCAGCCAATCAGGAGCGGCACCGCCCAGACCGCAGCGACGAACTCCCCCGGAGACGCGTTGCTATTGGCTGCCCTGGCCGCGTGGGCGGGGCGCTGCCAGGTCGCGCGCCGGGCAACGCGGCTGGGCTACAGTGTAGCGAGTTCATAAGAAAACAAATCTGCAGCGTTCGGGGCGTGGTCTCACGCGCGCTAGCTCCGCCCCCTAGCGGCCAGCTCGGCGGCGGCGGCGGCGGCAGCTCAGAACAGACCCCGCCCGTCGAGGAGGAGGGAGGGTGAGTTGGGGGGAGACCCGGCCCCCAAGGGGCGGGCGCCGGGCCGAGCCCTGCGAGCGGCGGAGGGTTGGGCCCGGCTCCCAGCCCCCGGCGACCCGCTGGCCGACAGGGGGAGGAGCCCGCCGGGAGGGCGGGGGTCGCGCCCGGGTGCCGACTGGTGTGCTGGGCTGGGAGCGTCGCGCAGGCCAGGTGCACCTCGGAGGGGATCTTAGGGCCAGCGCCGGTGTTTCCCCGCACTGACCGCGCCCGGGTGGGGCGGGGGCTTCGCAGGCTGCCAGTGTCGACATGCTGCTGGAGGAGGTCCGCGCAGGCGACCGGCTAAGCGGGGCCGCGGCCCGAGGCGACGTGCAGGAGGTGCGCCGCCTTCTGCACCACGAGCTGGTGCACCCCGATGCCCTGAACCGCTTCGGCAAGACGGCGCTGCAGGTGAGGCCCGGCTGGCCGGGAGCGAGGGCGAGACTGGGACCCCAGACCCCCTCCTTCACGTCTCCTTGGCCGCGGTGGTGGCTGACGCTGACGGCGGGTGGGGGTGGGACGGACCTTTTCCCCTGGGCCTCTGTTGCTCCTTCATGTCTACTTTCGTGGGTGGGTGGTGAATGGGGTTAGGTTGGGGGAGGGGAGGACTTTCCATCTTCTCTGGAGGATTTCTTGTTTTCTGGGTGCGGAGGATTCATTTTCCCTGGGGAGGTTCTTATTCCGCGATGCGAGAGCAGTTTCTTTGGATCCCGGTTTTATAGGGGTGGCTCTTATTTCTTGGATTCTTTGTGGGGGGATCCAATCATTGGAAGGAGGGATTCGTGTTTCCAGAGGTCCCCGTTTTCTGGAGGGTTCTCTGAGAGGTATCCAGTTATTTGGGTAACTCTCCATTACTGTTTGGGGGTGGGGGTGGGGGTGGGTGTGTTTGTGTGTGTGTGTGTGTGTGTGTGTGTTTGTTTCCAGATTCCTGGTGTATTAAGGGAAGTCCTAATGGGGCCACAGTTACAAGTGCATGGACAATCATTCCCTGGGGGGTATTTTACAGGGGGAACCCCTGTAAGTACCCCGGGGTTCCAAATTCCCTGGGCATCTCCTTTCCCTTGAGGTGGCTGTCCAAGTTCTTTGGGAGCAATTCTCCTTCTATGAGGCCTATTTCTGGGAGTCGGGGGAGGGGTCCTATTTCCTGGTGATTTCCCATAGGGGATGGGGCATGTCTCTGCTTCCTGGGGAGGAGCTTAGGTTCCTTGAAAGTTTCCATGGAAGCTATTCCCTAGGTGGTTGTCTTATCCTTAGAGGGGTGACCAGTTTCTTCGGGGTCCCTATTCCAAGGAGATGTCTTTCTCTGGGGTATCAAACAGCCTTGTGAGAGCTTGTGTCCTCTGGGGTTTCCCCAGTCTTTAGAAGACCTCTAATGTTCCCTATTCTTGAGTGACCCCTCCCTTCAGAGACCCCTTTTCCTGGAACCTCTCCCTTGAGGACCCCACACTCTCTGCCCCCACGCAGGTCATGATGTTTGGAAGCCCCACCATTGCGTTGGAGCTCCTCAAGCAAGGTGCCAGCCCCAACGTCCAGGACACCTCGGGCACCACTCCAGCCCATGACGCAGCACGCACTGGATTCCTGGACACCCTGAGGGTTTTGGTAGAGCATGGCGCTGATGTCAACGTGCCTGATGGCACCGGGGCGCTCCCCATCCATCTGGCGGTGCGGGAGGGCCACACCGCTGTGGTCAGCTTCCTGGCTACTGAGTCTGATCTCCATCACAGGGACGCCAGGGGGCTCACGCCCCTGGAGCTGGCACAGGGGATAGGGGCCCAGGATCTCATGGACATACTGCAGGGGCACCCGGTGGTATTGCTGTGACCCGGGGCCACCCACTGCAGCAACTGGACCCCACAGGGTTCTGTGTCTATAGAGGAGAAAAGAAACACTTTCTCCCCTCACTCCTCCTGCCCACTGTCAAAAGGGGAGGGGCACCAGTTTGTGGCTTGTTGGTGTTGATTTGTGGGGTGTGTGTGTTTGAGGGGCATTTCTCATTTGTTTTTCTCACCCCTTTTGATGTGTTGGGCAGAGAAGGGCTCCTGCCGGCAACAGCCATCTAAACGGTTCAGTTTCAGTTTTCTCCGCCTTGTATTGCTGGGGCTGCAGACGCCCAAGGGCAGAGCGTTTAAAACCCCAGCCCGAGTGAGGTCATCGCTTCCAGGGCTCCTGGAACCTGGCGACCTTGGCTCGCTGTACCCAGAGAGAGACCTCAAGTGTGCACACTGCTTTCAGGCATGGGGGGAGGGGGAGTGTTTAAAACCAACAGAAGGGTAGTATGAGTTCATATTTTCTTGGAAGCTTGTTTTCCAGTCTCTTGTACAGCGTTAAAAAAAAAAAGATTCTATTTATTAAGCTTTATGGAAAAAAATTGTTGTGTGATAACTTAATGTTTTTACCCATTAAATTAAGACTTGTGCATGATCACAGAGCTGGTGGCTTCTGATTTTTTTGAGTCTGCCATGGAGAGTCGCGCGTCCAGTGTGTGTGGCGGGTGGGCACGGGGGTCGCATATCGTAGATACTTTGGGGGAGGGGAGAGAGTGGTAATTCCCAGGGTGACAGAGGTGAGTGTGCTGGGTGGGGCAGCGGTTTCTGCCGTCGGAACGGAAGGGAGGCAGGAAACCGCGAATGGAGAAAGGGCCCCCAGATGTCAGCTGGGTGCCGGGAGCCCCGGGGTGGGGGTGGGGGTGGGCGGTGGCTGTAGTTTGACCCGCAGAGGCGTGACCCGCGGGCGGGGACTGCGGTCGCGTGGCGTAAGGGATCCGGGAAAGGCTGGGGGCGGGATTAGGTGAGGCCTGCGAGGCTCCGCCTCCTTTAAGGCCTGCCTTGGCCCCGGCTGGGAGTAGCCCCGCCTCCTGTGGGACGCTGGCCACACGCGTGCGCAGTGGGTCGCAGAGCCGCCATGCCGGAACCGCGCGGGTCGTCGCCCCTTCGGGTAAACGCGGCGTTTGCCGCGCGGTACGGACGCTACCGGGAGCGCGAGGAGCTGCAGCGGCGTGAGTGCGGGGCGCATGCGCGCGGGGCGGTGGTGCGAGCAGGGTCGTCGGGAAGTGGGGGTTGATCTGGTCTTCCAAGCTGGTCTGTGGGGGGCTCTCCAAGCTGATCTGTGGGGGGGCTCTCCTCTGCCCTGCAGTTAAAGATCGCTACGGGGACCGAGACAGCGGCGGCGACTCCAGCTCGGAGTCTGACTCTAGCGACGAGCGCGTGGTGAGCTTTTCTCACCCAGGCCCCATACTTTCGGGAAGCATCCAAGCCCCCCATCGCACCCCTATCCTGATATGCAGAAGGCGGCTAACCTCGAACTCCGTTCCACCCTACCGGAGCGTCCAACTTCCTTTTTCTAAACCCATGGACGACACACAACGCCCTCCCCATCCCCATGGAGCGGCCCAGTTTCCCCCTACTTCCTCTCTCTTCGCCACGATCCACCTGCCCATCCTGATGTGAGAAGCAACCGCTGTGTCCACTTTCTCTTCCCCAAGAGTTTAACCATTCGTCAGTGTCGGACCCTGTCCCCGAGGTGGGACGTCTCTTTGCCACATGGGGCACTCAGCCTCTCATCAGCCCTGATCTTCCGGGCCTCACTGTGCAACCCGGCCCCTGCTTGCTGTCCCACATGCGCCCTCTCTGCTCACCTACCGCCCCCCCCCCCCCCCCCCCCCCCCCCCCC